CAGTCTGGTCTACAGAGTGAGTCCAGGACAGCCAGGGCTACACAGAGAAACCCTGTCTCAGAAAACAAAACAAACAGAAATACAAACAAACAAGCAAAAAGATTCATTCTTTCCAGACAACTCTAGTTATGTCAGGTTGGGAAAAACAATCAATCAAACAAACATACTCCACAAATCAACCAGGAAGCACGCACATGCACACAGCCAGCCAGCCAGACATGCACACATGGGCTAGATGTATAGCACAGTGGGTAGAGTTATTGCCCATCACCCCGAAAGCCCTGGGTTTGCCCCCAGCACCACAGAAACTGCTGACCCACACCTGAAACCTCAGCACTGAGCAGGTGGAGGCAGGAGGATAAAGAATTCAAGATCATTTCGGCCACAATGTTAGTAGGAAGTCACTGGTGCTGGGGGTGGCAGGTGCCGGTAACTCCAGCATTCGGGAGGCTGGGTGCCAGGCAGATGGCCAAGTAAAAAACCATAGGGCTGGAGATGGCTCAGTTAAGACCGGCTGCTTTCCTAGAACTCCAGTGCCAGAGGCAGGAGGGTCTCTGCGAGTTCAAGGCCAACCTGCTGGTCTACATGGAAAGACTTTGTCTCAAAACAACAGCAACAAAACATTAGGCAGCCTGGCCTAAATAAAACCATATATACATGTATTTCTTTTTTTTTTTTAAAGATTTATTTATTATTTATACAGCATTCTGTCTTCATGTGTGCCTGTGCATTGGAGGAGGGCACCATATGTCACTGTAGATTGTTATGAACCACCATGTGGTTGCTGGGAATTGAACTCAGGACGTTTGGAAGAACAGCGAGTGCTCTTAACCTCTGAGCCATCTCTCCAGCCCCCCTTCCTTTCTTTTAACGCTGTGATCTTGTTTTCTAGTTAGTTACTGTTTGTTTGTTTTTCCAGACAGGGTTTCTCTGTGTAGCCTTGGCTGTACTGGACTTGCTTTGTAGACCAGACTGGCTTCGAACTCAACTCAAAGAGACCTGCTGCCTCTGCCTCCTGAGTGCTGGGGTTACAGGCGTGCATCACCACGCCCGGGTACTGTGGATGTCCTTTCCCCCATTGTTGTTTTAATCTCTCTAGTAAACAGCTAAGTGCAAGAACCCAAGAATTCAAATGGATGGATGGCGGGAATGTAGGGCTGCTGGGAGTTTTCTCAAAAAGCAGGAGTCTGGAGGAATGGCTGAGAGCATTTGTGCTCTTCCAGAGGATCCAGGTTTGAACCCCAGCACACACACGGTGACTCACACTGCTAACTCCAGGTCGCAGGGGGCCTGACGCCCTCTTTTGGCCTCAAGGGACACTGCATGCAGGTGGTGCACAGACACAGAGAAACACACACACAAAGAAAACATTAGAAACAAAAACAAAAGCAAGAACTCCAATGGATAGATAGCCAGGAGGGAGCCTAGCCCGGACCTCTGCCTCTTAGGATTAAAGGCCAAAGGCTTGACCTGCCACTCCCAGTTCAGTGCCATGCTGAGGTGTGGCCAAGGGGTCTGGTGACGTCTAACCGATACTCATGTCAACAGGTCTCAGGACAGGGCTGTACATGCCACAGTCCCCGCAACAGCAGAGACTTTCCAGCTCCAAGGTTAGCATTGCCTACCCCGCCGTGCTTGCCTGTCGGCATGGGCCTGTAATCCCAGCGCCGGAAGGGCAGGAGGCCAGAGTGTCATTGCAAGTCTGGGGCCATCTTATTTGACATGGTGAGTTCCTGTCTCAAGATCACCACCCAAAGCCTGGCCGGGTGCCCTTCTGCCTGTGATTCCAGCAGTCGAGAAGGAGAGGCAGGAGCTGTGGATTAAACATGTTTGTGTGTTGTTTTTGAGGCAGGGTTTCTCTGTGTAGCCCTGGCTCTCCTGGGGCTCACTCTGTAGACCAGGCTGGCCTTGAAACGCCCACAAGGAGGGATGTGACGTCCAGGCTGCCGGCCCACGAAACAAGGCCTTGTCTGAAGAAACCAGACAAAACAAACGTAGCCCTGCTTTAAATCAGTTCCTAAGTTCCAAAGGCGTGGGCAGCACGGGGCCTTTGCTCCTGCTCCCTTGCTGCTTACAGCACGGTTCCCTCATGGCTGACTCATTACTTCGAAGTCATTCACTCAGAAAGTCTCCCTGATCTCACCTGAGGCTGGACCCAGCCGTACACGTTACCCTGTTTGGTTGCCTTCAAAACAAGCAGGGCTTTATATTTTTATTGCCCTGCTTCCTCCTCTAGAAAGTGAGCCAGCTGAGTGCAGGGTCCTTATCTGTCTGGTCTACCATGTGTCCCCAGGGTTAACTGCAGTGCCCAGTGCATTGACCGGCACCCAGAAACACGTGTGGGGCACTGGAGAAAAGTTCCCCTCAGAATTCGCCCATTGGGCACAAAAACCTAGATACCACTACACTTCACAGCAGCAGGGAAACTGATACTCAATCCATGAGCGCCCGAATCCAGCTTCAGACTCTGAAAGGACAGCACAGGTAACCACAAAAGAGCTCTGAGCAGGTGACCTGCCTCAGTGTGGGTGGGGCGGGCAGGCCAGGCCTCCTAGGAGAGAAAAGCCGAGCCTGAAGAATGAGTTTGTTAGCTGGGTCCAGGAAGGTGGGTGGGGCACTCAGGCACAGAGAACAGGAAGGTGCCTTAGTGGGCTAGAATTGGCACAGGGTGTTCTGGGGACACAATGGAAGCCAATGCAGCTGAGGGAAAGGCAGGGTGTCAGCAGCCAAGAGGGACGCTGCGTGTAGCTCAGTGGCAACAGCGCTTGGGTAAGGCTCTGGGGTTCAAGCCGCAGCAACAGGGCAAACAAAAAGCTGCCACGGCCTGTTCTTATTTTACTCGTAATGCTTCCTGATCTGTTTGTGTGTGTGCATGTGTCTGAGTGAAGGCTTGGAACCAGGTGTGGTGACATACTCCAGCTCCTCCCTACTCCCCTACAGGGTTTCTCTGTGTAGCCCTGACTATCCTGGAATTCAGTCTGTAGACCAGGTTGGGCTCGAACTCAAAGATACACCTGCCTGTGCCTCTGTTGTGCTGGGTGAGAGGCGAGAGCTTCAGGGCCTGTAATCCCCGCACTCAGTTGGCAGAGGCAGGCAGATCCTGTGAGTTCAAGGCCAGTCTGGTCTAATCTAATCTACACACCAAGTTCCAGGACAGCCAGGGCTACACAGAGAGACCTTGTCTCAAGAAAAAAGTTAATAAACAGTAATAATTAATACTAAAAAAACCCAGGAAGCGTTGGATCACCTGGAACTGGAGTTACGGAATTGTGAGTCTCCATGTGGGTGTCTGAAGATGGACCGCTGGTCCTCTGCAAGAAAAGAAAGCGCCCTTAGCTGCTGAGCCACCTCCCGAGCGCCACTGAGCGACTTTTTAAAAAGAAAGGAAAGATTTAAGTACCTATAAGGAGAGTTTCCTGGGGAGTGAATTTAGGAAAGGGCGCAGGGAAACTGGTTTTGGGGAAGTTGGAGTCTCCAGTTAACAGAGAATGCTTGGTGTGTGTAGGTGAAGGCGAGCAATTGCTGAGCATACAAACGGGATGAGGGGAATCGTGGGCTTTCAGGGCTGGAAGGTGCTCCCCGGGGAAGGCTGGCTTTAAACTGTTCTGCTGCAGTCTGCCAGCACGCTCGAACCACATCCAACCAGTAAGCCACCTTAAACCAAAACAGCAAAAAACCTCAGCTGTGCATGGCGGCTCACATCTATAATAAAAAAACAAAACAGAAATAAAAAAGGCCAAATCCAGACACAAAGAATGGAGTTCGGGAAGGTCTGCGTTTTATACAAAAGCAGGTTAATTAGCCGAGCAAGGGCCTTAAGTACGTTCGGTGGATGAGGGGAGGATTTACCATGAGGCCTGTAAACTGAGCTCAGGCGGGGAAGCTGAAGGCGTGGCTGTAGACATGGCCAGACTGAGGAAGAAGGCCTGGGACGGAGAACCAGCCCAGGGCTGGGGTCGCGGTGATCGGCACGCGGAGCCACTGGCTCCAAGGGTCTGGGGGTGCAGCAAGAGTCTGAGATCGGGGGAGGAAAAGGGAGGACCGAGGGTCTTAGCGGTGCGAAGGACTGTGAGGCGGAGACAGGGTTCCTTAGGAATGGCTTCAGGCCGCCTTGGGAGTCGGGTGCCAGAGTGGGTGGAAGGGGACGGGAAGGGTGAAAGGGCACACAGTGGGTCCCTGGAGGGTCAGAACGAGGAAAGGGAAAGTGTGCGGCTGGGACCGGGGAAGGGAATGTGGGTGTGGCGGCCTCCCTGACCTCGGTCTTGCCCCGCTCCCACCCTCGGGAAGGTCTCCGTCAGGAGCCTCGGTGCCAGCTGAAGGGGTCGCTGACAGCCCCGGGGACCCAGCCCTGGGACTCCGGGGTGCGGGGACGGCCCGGGCTGCGGAGGGCCTCGGTAGAGGCCTGGGCAGCGCAGGGAGAGTCGCCGGAGCGGGTCCTAGGAGGGGGCAACGCGGGTGACTGTGCCCGGGCGGGTTCGGGTCCCGGAAGGCGGGCCAGGCCACCGGAGGGGCCGACCGAAGGAGGCTGGAGGCGAAAGCCAGACAGGCGGCAGGCGCGCCAGGGGCAGGGGGCGAGGGGCCTTCCGGGCGGTCGGGGGACGTGGCCCCGGGCGACCCCGGAGTCCCCGGGGCAGGCTCGCGGCCCGGGGACTTCCGAGAAGCCTCCGCCCGCTTCCCGCCGGCCGCGGCGGCCGGCAGGCGAAGGGGCGTGACCCTGGCGCTCCGGTTTCTTCCTCCTCACCTGGACAGGCGGGTGGGGGCCGACTTCCGGTGCAGGTGAGTGTCCCTCCAGTGACGTCAGGCCACCCTCCACTGCCCCCTGGTCCCGCCCCTGCCGCGCTCCGGGTGCCCGCGGGGGCGCGTCCCCGACGGCCTACATATACTCAGGTGCGCCGCACCTGCGCGCCCGCCCGCACCTGCCGGCCCGCACCTCGCGCCCGCACCTCGCGCCCGCCGCCAGCTCCCCGGGCCGCGCACCGCAGCCGGGGCCCAAGGCTCGCTCGCTCGCTCGCTCTGCCGTCCCGGAGCTCGCCGGAGGGAGCCGCCCGGCCTTCGGGGACCGCTTTTGTCCGGAACCTGCCCTTCGGGCGGAGCAGGTTTCCTCGGCTGTGAGAGTGTCGCCTCACCGGAGGGGACGGTCTGTGTTTACCTCGCTCGACGAGACCCGCCGTCACCCGGCCCAGAGCCTTTTTTTTTAATTTCATTTTTTCACTTTTTTTTCTTGTGTGGGGTCTCGGTGCCTCGACTCTCTCCAGATTTTCTTGTGTTGCTCCCCAGACTTTGGTTTTACTGCAGGGTCGCCCTCCCGGCGCGTCCCGTCTTTCCCGAGACAAGGAGATGGCCAACTCGGGCCTGCAGCTGCTGGGCTTCGCCATGGCCATGCTGGGCTGGGTGGCCCTGGTGGCGAGCACCGCCATCCCGCAGTGGCAGATGAGCTCCTTCGCGGGCGACAACATCATCACGGCCCAGGCCATGTACAAGGGGCTCTGGATGGACTGCGTCATGCAGAGCACCGGCATGACGAGCTGCAAGACGTACGACTCGGTGCTCGCCCTGCCCGGTAAGGCCGCGGGGCCGACGGGGCGGACGCGCCCGGATTGCCAGGGAGGAGGAAGTGGGCGCCCTGGGCGCGGAGGGGCGGGGGGAGCGGGCTGGCACGTGGGCCCACGCCCCTCTGCCCCGCAGGAAGCGGGGAGCCCGGGCGGTCGTGCCCCGCCCCTCTCCCCGGACAAAGGGGGCCGCGCCGGGGCCGCGGGATCGCGCCCTCCTCAGACGTTGGCCGCACCGTGGCCTCTAATCTTATCGGCCGATTAGCTGAAGCCACAAACCCGGCGGCCTCGATAGCGGCCCGGAGCCGGGACACGCGCCGGCCGCCGCGGCCCGGGCCGGGGCCCTGGCGGCCACCTGCCTTCTCCGCGGCCCCCTTGCTCCCTTCCCCCTACCTGGAGCGGTTTCGCCGAAACCTTGGCGCCCCGGGCGGGCTCCGGACGCAGGGCGGGGCGGGGCAGGCCTGGGTGGCGGGATGGGGCGGGAACCGCCTGCGCGGGGCCTGCTTGGACTAGGGGCCGTGCTGGCCGCGACGGCACGGGGCCGTGCAGGGCTGGTGGGCGCGGTCTGCCGCGCTCGGGCTGGCGCCCTCCTCAGGCTACCTGCCGCCCAGCCCTGAGCGCTCCTTCCTGCCGCCTCCTCTGCAGCGGCCTTGCAGGCCACTCGCGCCCTCATGGTGCTGTCCCTGGTGTTGGGCTTCCTGGCCATGTTTGTCGCCACCATGGGCATGAAGTGCACGCGCTGCGGGGGAGATGACAAAGTGAAGAAGGCCCGGATAGCCATGACGGGGGGCATCGTCTTCATCATCGCCGGTGAGCCTCGGGGTCAGGGCGGCACCAAAGGCTCGCTCTCGGTTTGGACCCCGTAACTAAATCTTTCTTTTCTAGGCCTCGCTGCCTTGGTCGCATGCTCCTGGATTGGTCATCAGATTGTCACAGACTTTTACAACCCCTTGACGCCCATGAATGTTAAGTACGTCTCCAGTCTGGACAGGGAGGGGGACTGCAGGCCCAAGCTTTGCCTCCGTGACTTTGTCTCCCTCACAGGTACGAGTTCGGACCTGCCATCTTTATCGGCTGGGCGGGGTCTGCTCTGGCCCTTCTGGGAGGTGCCCTGCTCTCTTGCTCCTGTCCTGGCAGCGAAGGCAAAGCTTCATACCGTGCGCCCCGCGCCTACCCCAAGTCCAATTCCGCCAAGGAGTATGTGTGAGCCTGCGGGCTCGGTGTGGCAGCAAGGCCTCCGGTCACGACATCTCTGAACACCATGTACAGTTCCCTTGGAGGGCGGGCCCTGCGGGGAGGGGGGCTGGGAGAGGAAGACACAACTCGGGGCGTGCTTTTTGTACAGTAATAAAGTTTTGGAGAGTAGGCGTCTTTTCAGGCCTCCTTTGTCCTCCTTTGTCCAGCAGAGGAGCTGGAACCCACCCCCACAGGCAGCAGGAGAACGGAGTAGAGAGCGGGGGACCCCAGGCTGTGGCCCCTATTTTGTCAGCTACCACCGTGTCTCAGGCTCTTCCTCGCTCTCCCCACTGTCCTGTGTGCCTCAACACTGTGGTGTCTGTGCAGGTCAGGATAGCTCTGCTCCAGGGACTGAACTCAGGTTGCCCGGAAGGTGGCAAGTACCTTTACCTGCTCACCAGCCCTACCCACATCTCCCTGTATAAGCAAGCACTCACCAAGGAGCTATTTCAGTTAACACACACATTACATTTTATTAAAAGGGCCCGGGAAGGACTTCTTATCTTGCTCCACAGCACGGCTCACCACACTTCTGCCTTAACTGCATGCCGCTCCCTGGCTCACACACAGGGCCTCCTCAGACAAGAGCAGCGAAGGCAGGGTGGGGATGCAGCAGCAGAGTGCAGATGGCAGGACAGTTCCGAGCCACAGCCCTCCCCTCCCATTTGTCAGATGTCTAGGTCATCATCTGGGTCTTCCTGGTCCACATCATCAAAAGCATCCGGCTCATAGAAGATGTGGCCAGATGTCCGGCCTGGTACAGGGTGCAGCAGAGCTTGCTGTCTGGGAAGGAAGACATGATGATGATGAGGGCGAGTGATTAAGTCAGGTCTGGACAGCTCCTTCTAGGTGGCAGTCATAGTCTCTCAGGTCTTTATTCCAGAAGGAACAAAGCCCCAACAGGAGTCAGAGCAGAGGCACCACTAGACCCTGGACTAGGGACTGCCTTGTATGGTTCTGACAAAACCCAAGTCCCTAGTAGCTAGCAGGCAAAGATTCCTCAGTCTTGCTTCATACCCACCCACACACGGCACAGAGCAAGAGGCTTTCCTGAAGGCCGTGAACAAGCTTCCACCACACCCATGCACGCTGTGGCTTTGTCACTGCTGCCCAGAGACGAGGCCACCTCCCCACCTAGTCCAGCTCACAGGCCCCGGGTCCACTACGGGAAGAGCTCCTCTGTCACTGTGGGAATTCTGCACAGGCCAGCGGGGACCACTCCCTAGACCTGACTCTAAAGGCGGACTTCAGCCCCTATAAAGTGTTGAGGTTAATCAATAACCTGCCATCACCCCACCTTTCTGTGACCCAGGTGCTGAGATCCAAGCCCAACCTTACTTTTCAGAGCTGAACTGGAAAGGCAGAGTGAGGCTGTCTCTGGCTTCTCTTTCTTTCTTTGATAAGCGAAGGTTAAAGGTCAAATGAGTCCTGGGATCCACCTGTAGGTACAAGTGCCGTCACCGCTCAGTTTTACTTTTCATATCCCAGGCCCCCAACACCTACAGTTTTCTTTTTTGTTTTTCAAGAGTTTCTCTGTCTTGGTTCTCAGTCCTGGCTGTCCTGGTCACTCTGTAGACCAGGCTGGCCTCGAACTCAAGACATCTGCCTGCCTCTGTCTCCTGAGTGCCGGGAATAAAGGTGTGCACCACCACTGGCAGAGCTAGTATCTAGGTGTTTTTCCTTTCAGCAGCCTGTAAGATCACACCTTTGTTCTGGCCCTGTCACTTTTAGATACCTGGGCTGTGTGAGGATCTGGGCGTAGCTCAGAATGGAGGGGAAGGCCCTCGTGGAGATCCAGGCTGAAGTCAGGAAGAATGGAGAACCACCATGACTACGGAGGAAAGAAGAAAAGAAAAAATCCCCTCATTTTTTTTGCTGTAAGGCAGTATTCTTAGTATTCTTGGTTAAGTTACTGGTTTTTTTGAGACAGGGTCTTTATGTAGCCCTGGCTGTCCTAGAACTCAGCAGTCTGCCTGCTTCTGCCTCCCAGGTGCTGGGACCACAGATGTATGCCAGCATGTCTGGATGGTTTATGAGCTCGAGTCGAGCAACCCTGAGTTCAGATCCTGGGCACGCCACCTGGGCCTCATGCTTCATCACTTAGGTAGGTGACGAAAGCTTTACCATGCCTGGGTTTGTTTCAGAGCTTCAGAGGGAGCTCTAAAGGCTGAAGGGGGTAAACGACAGGACCCCATGGAAGGGCTACAGGTGGCACTGAGCATGTTTAAGGTCTTGGGTCTGATTCTCAAGCATACGAAAATGGAGGCCAGGCAAGATGGCATGACCCCAGCACTTGGGAGGCTCTGTGCTCAAAGCTAGTCTAGTCTTTAAAAAAAAAAAAAAAAAAAAGGTCCTGGACAGATAGGGCTACATAGTGAGACCCTGCCTCAAACAAAATGAAACAAAAGAGAACCAACAACACAGAATTAGATCAACTTTCCATTTGGCGTCTTTTCTGAGATTAGGACTTCACATGTCACAGACTCTAGGCTGTCTTTCAGCTTTCTAGGTCCCCTTTAACTCCTGATTGTCCTGCCTTTATCTCCCGAGAGCATCAGTTTTTACTACACCATGCTGCCTATCTAATTTTATGTTAATCTGACACAGGCTAGAGTCATCTGAAAGGAGGAAACCTCAGCTGCCAACATGCCTCCCTAAGATCCAGCTGTCCAGTGTTTTCTTAGTGACTGATGGTGCGGGGTGGTGGTGGCTCATGGGCTGGTGGTCCTGGGTGCTACAAGGAGGCTGAGCCAGCCAGTAAGCAGTGCCCTCCATGGCCTCAGCATTAGCTCCTGACTCTAGGTTCCTGCCCTGTTTGAGCTCCTGTCCTGGCTTCCTTCAATGAAGAACAGCCATGTGGAAGTGTGAGCCGCACAAACCTTTCCTTCTTAACTTGCTTCTGGCCATGGTGTTGCACAGCTGCAGTAGAAACCCTGACTAAGACACTGGCCCTTGTTTGATCTAATCTTCAGTCTTCTTTGTTGTCTCTCCTGACCTGGTAAGTTGCACGCTGCTGAGGCCTTCGGTAGAGGATGGAGGCAGAAGTCCGGCCTGTTTTACCACTCAGAGTCACCTCTGTGTGAGCGAGGGTGCTCAGTGCCCCCAGGGGGCCAGGCCTATGGAGCTCTTCATGCAGCAGGCCCAGGACACATACCCGCTCCACCAGGGCGTTATCACCTGGATAGTGACAAGACATGCAGAGGATGAGACACACGGGGTAGCATTTAGGTGACGGCCTTGGAGCAGACAGTAAAGACAGGAGAGGCCCACATTCTACCATAATCGGACTTACCGTGGCCAATCTTTCTCACCGCCTCACCACATGCTCTGTGCTTCTACTATTCTACACCATAATTAGCCAGTCAGAATCTGATCGGGGGACCAGTGGCTTCATCCTTTGCAGCTTCATGGGTTCCCAAGCTGCCTGTGTGCTGTGATGTCGGGGAGCCCCTTCCTCACCGTGGCTCTTTGGGAGCATTAACTGTGCTATACGGAAGGTTTCAGCACACCTGACTTTTCACCTTCACTTTATGCATGTTTATGCGCACATGCGTGCATCCCGCGGTGTGCGTGTGCCGTGGCATCCTTGTGGACATCAGAGTCTAATATATTTGGAGACAGTTGCTTCTTCTACCACTTGGGATCCAGGTATTGAATCAGATTTGGGGGCGAGCACTGAGACCCACTGAGTCTTGCTGGGTGGCTCAATTTGGTACATTTTGATAATTCTTTTTTTTTAAATTTTAAAAAGTTATTTGAGACAGGGCCCCACTAGACAGCCTTGGCTGGCCTGGATCAGCTGGTCTTGAACTCCTAAGAGGTGAGGCTGCCTCTGCTGGGATAGAGGTGTGTGCCACCACAGCCAGCCCAATAAAAAAAAGAAAAAAACTGAAACCAAAACAAAACAAAGTGGCTTATTTTTATTGATGTGGGTGGGTGCCCAGAGGCCAGAAGAGGGTGTTGGTGTTGGATTCCCTGATGCTGGAGAAATGGGGTTGTCGGTGTGGAGAGCCACATTCTAGTCTGCGGGAAGAGCAGTGTAAGGGGCCGCATATTCCCTGGAACTGGAGCTACAAACAGTTGTGAGCCACCACTTGGGTGCTGGGAATTGAACCGGGACCTCAAGAAGAACAGCCACTGCTTGTAACTGCTGAGCCTTCTCTGCAGCCTGACAAATCCCTTTAAGGTACCAGTGCATGGATTAAAATAATCCTTCTATTTCATATCCCTGTCAGACTGTCTTGTAACTGTTACCCATTTACTTTTATTTCTTTTGAGAAAACGTCTTATGTCGCCCAGGCTAGCCTTAAATTTGTCATTTAGTTGAGGATGACCCCTGACCCTCCACCTCTCAAGTGCTGGAATTACAGGTTATGACAGCTTACGACACTAAGGATGGACCCAAGGCTTCATGAAGGCTGCACCAGCTCAAAGTCACCTCCAGCCACATTTACTTCTTTGTACCCTGTATGATTCAAAGGCCAGGACCTGACTCTAAGGTCAGTCTTTAGTTCTCCATTATCACAACGGTCCCTCACACAGAACTGTACTTCCACTTGTTGAGTAAGTGCATGAGGTGGAGACAGAGGCAAGTTGTTAAGCTTGCCTGCCTGACACACAGGAGAGCCTGGGCTCTAGTCTTAGCACCTCACACACTGTGTGTGGTGGTACAGGCCTGTACTTCGCCTCAGGAGGGAACGGCAGGGGATCAGAAGCTCAAGGTCCATCCAATCTCTCTGCTCAGCCAGATCCTCCACCTTGATCTGGCTGGATCAAGATAGAAAACCTCAACTGACCAAATGCAGACAAGTGATCGTGCTGCTCAGCCCTAACTACATCTACAGCACCCCGGGTTCAGGGGCTTTTCGGAGTGGGGGACCCTAAGAGTCAGAGGAAAAGGAGGGTTATCTCTGAGATTTCATCTTCTAGAAATGTCACAGAAGCTACACCCACTAATTCTCACCAGCATGGCTTCATAAACGAGCTGAACAAGGGAGACACCAATAGACACGAACGGAGGGAAAGAGCTCTCACAGGGGCGCAACCCTAGGCAAAGCACTACAGGCAACTGAGGAATGCTGAGAGCAGGAGGGAGACTCCGCCCGTGGGAAAAGCCCCCACTTGTTACATTACCC